AATGGTCACCATTTCAATCATGTAGGCAGGATTTTGCATAGTCACGAGGCTAAATGGGTTCTTTTTGCCATGTACTGGGTGGGCTTTTTGCTACGGCATGTTAATTCGGATCTGGGTTCAAATTTAATGCCTCATTCTGCAGTCTGTCAGTTTTTCGTGACTTTTCTAATAAATTCCCCAATTTTGATTGGCGCACGGATATAAATTCTCGGGTGTTTTACGATTCACTGATTAGTAACGTAATAACGGAACCTCGATGTACCCAAATGTTAATTTTAAGCTTTCATTTTCAAATATTTGTAGTAAATTTGTAGACCCGCTTTCCAGAGAAACAACTTTTAAACTTAGTCATTTTATTGTCCCTACTAACAGCTGTTATTTCATTACTGATAGGACAAAAAGTTTTGTATATTTCGTAAGAAATATCCAGAGACCCAGGTTCACCTTTTCTATAACTGTAAATATGTTAAGTTTTTGTTAAACGTTTTACATAATAGGGTTTTTGACCTCAGTCTTGGCGAGATAGATCTCAATGTTTGGCATGTTATTTTTAACACTATTCCAAAAGTAAAAGGAAAATATATACATGATGTAATTTTATTGATCGTGAGTTTGGCAGGCGGCATATTTGGACTACGCGGTGCGACACAAAATTTAAAAACAAGCCCGTTACTGATATTGGCATATTTCTTAATTTTTTAGAAAAATTCTAAATTAGAATCTGGGCGGACCGGGTCCGACTCAGTTAAGCTGAATTTACTAGCTATTGGTTAAACCCTGGTATGTTTTGCGAAATAGATAAAGGTAACCTTTCGTTTTTGTTTTAATTATGTTTTGATATCTTTATCATCAACGGATTTCTTTAATTGACGATAATATCCCGTTAGTTAAAACAGTATCAACTGATTCTAGTGGCAGTAGTATTACTATATTGTTTAAATTGATTATATTAACTAATATGTATTTTGTTAAATTTGTTTTGCTAATTGTTTTCGTGAAAAGATAAGTTTTCTTTTCACTTTTAGCTCTCATTAACTGCATAATCATTGTATATACAACATGTTATCATATCATCTTTTGTTTCTAGATGTAAATGTATATTATTGATTTTTGTCTAGAAATAAATTTATTCAAAAGTTAAAGTTAAGGTTCTCTCAGGACGAGGCTTCTGCATTGCACCTAGCGGAGGTTGATCCCTGCGATCACCCCTAATGTGGGTGACTCGAGTACGTAATTTTTTAGTGTGGGGACTGCGTTCGCGCTCTCCCCTGGTAAATCAATGTCAAAAGAGTTGTACCCGCCATATATCGCCAGCCAAGTACTAAAAACCCGGCCTTATGCGCTATAAGAGTGAATAACGTTATTATGATGTGTTTTTACTGTCTTCCTTAGATCAACATTATTCCTATGTAAGCTTGTGCGGTCTTGTTTTTCAGACAGGTATTTTAAGCCAAAGGAAACCATTTGTACTTGGCATGGACCCAATGTTTCAACTCGGATCGATAGATTTTATATTATTTTCAAGTAGATTTACGTCCGCACTTCACGATTTCAAAATTTTTCTTGTAACTTTTCAGATCACGATTATATTTTGGCTTCAGTTTCTTTAGAAAACGGTGTTCAAGTTGGGTCTGGTTATTGGAAGCTAAATAGCTCTATTTTACAGGAACGGGAGTTTACCACGACTTTTCGTTAATTTTTTACCGCAAATTTCACTGATGTTTCGGAAATAACTTTTGAATGGTGGGAAAATTTTAAACTTGAAGCAAAAAAATTTATAATTTCTTTTTGCAAGCGCAAAGCAATTTTGGCTCATAGAGAGAGACGATCCCTTGAAAAAAAATACAGTAATTTAATTTCGGCTGAGCATCTAAATCCAGGGTCGTTTAACGAAGAAATTAAGTCGGTTAAAAAAGAGCTAAATAATTTATCTTTGGCAAAGGATCGCGGGAATATTAAACGTGCTAAAGCTCAATTTTTGGATAATAATGAAAAACCCACTAAATATTTATAGAAAAAGAAGCTAAACGTGGTAAAGACAAAATTATACACTCTCTTACTGATGATTCTAATTTGGCAAATTATCATGATACAGAAAATATTATTAGAATAGCACGCGCATTGTATGTTAACTTGTTTACAGAGGAAAAAGCAGACGATGTTTTGCGTCAGAAATTTTTGGCTGACTTACCTCAGCTCAGCCATGTTGATTCAAAAAGCATTGATGGAGATATCACATTAAATGAAATTAAAGAAGCTTTAGGTCATATTAAATTAGATCGTAGTCCTGGATCAGATGGTTTTTGTGTTAATTTTTACATTACGTTTTTCGATATCTTAGGTCCATTTTTAGTTAAGTTGTATAAATATAGATTTGAACATAATCTATTACCTCCCTCTTTGAGAATTTCATACATTAGTTTATTATGTAAAGATAAGAATAATAAAAATCTAATGAAAAATTGGAGACCTATTAGTTTGTTAAATTATGATTATAAAATTTTATTTTCAAATAGTAAAAAGTAAAGAGTAAAAAGTATAAAACTAAAACTAAAAGTAAAATAGAATGAATGTAGTGAATTAGATACTCTGTAATTTAAACTAAGAAAAGAACCAACTGTATTATCAATCTGTTTTATTAACTCTATAGAATTGGCCAATTCAGGGCCTCAGACCGGACGGTTTCATGCACTCTCACGATCCAGATTTAACATTGTGTACCCTACCAATTTCAGCTATCATATAAACTTTACACACCCAAAACTTAACTATATACAACCTGTAAATAAACAACAGAAAAAGAGAAAACAAACTATATATGTATAAAATAATATAATACAAAGGTAAACATGACGTCACAAAAATTGAGACAATATTTATAGATGACTGACCTTGCAATCGTGTGTAATAAATATCGCTCACTCACGATAAAAACTACAAAATCGATCAACTGAGTGATCCAGTGAGTGTATACTGTATAGTTCACACCTATCAAAACAAAACTGATTGATTAATATTACTCTACATGTAAATACATACTGAACACAAGAGACATCAAAATAAAACTGAATTATCAGTCAAACATAAATCGGGAGACGGGCCATGACTCTGATGAGGGGGGTTAGGCATAATTCGTAATCCATTTTGAAAAATTGGGTCTGGTAATCAAAGCAATATGATAGAAAAATGAAAAATCAGGTATTCACCATTGAAACTTCACTTCCCTTGCGCACTCGAACTGCCTTCTCCATTTTCATCTTCCTCATCTCTAACTCGTTTCGGTGTTGTTGACGGTTGAGTTTCCATGCTGTCTTCACTATCTGTATCGTCTGTAGAATGTTCACTCATATTTTCAATATTATTACAAGTTTTAACTCCTACATCACCGGGGACATCATCCTGACGTTCTGCATCATCGGGGACATCCTCTGTCTTTCTTCCTGACAACTTGTCGGCATAATTGGGCGGCTTGTTTAAATTCGGGCATTCGCCTCATTTGTGTCCGATACAGCGACATCGGAGACACAAAGGAAGGCGACCTCTTGCCGTTATCAGCATTCTACACGTGCCTTTGTTATACGTGATCATGTGTGGTACTTCACCAAAGTTGTTGTGACTTAAACTCATGTCCACTACTCTTATACCATTTTTAACATTCTCCCCTTCAGATGATCTTTCATAAATACTAATGATATTGCCAAACTGTGAGAAAAAGTTGTATAAAAACGAATCTTTAATGTACCTTGGCATCCACTGTATTGAAAATTGCACTCTCTAATACCAGTCTAGATCTTTTCTAAGTATGTTTCATGGCTCAGCATACCTCCTGAATTCGGCATACTTACCTGGTACAGGAGAAACCTTGATCAGCAAGGAGGTTCTCCCAGGACGAGGCTTCTGCATTGCACCTAGCGGAGGCTGACCCCTGCGATCACCCCTAATGTGGGTGACTCGAGTACGTAATTTTTTAGTGTGGGGGACTGCGTTCGCGCTCTCCCCTGGTAAATCAATGTCAAAAGAGTTGTACCCGCCATATATCGCCAGCCAAGTACTAAAAACCCGGCCTTATGCGCTATAAGAGTGAATAACGTTATTATGACGTCGTTTTTACTGTCTTCCTTAGATGCAACGTTATTCCTATGTAGGCTTGTGCGGTCTTGTTTTTTAGACAGGAAAATGCCATTTCTGACCGGGTAAGTCGCGAATTTAAATTGTTTTGTCCACTCCAATCTTCCTGTTTGCATTTTTTCGCCATAACAGTGTTTTTGACGTCATAATTGTATAGTTATACAAGAATTAATCTAAGATAACGTTTTTCACGAGATTTGGCTCTTTTTTTATTTGTTCTGACTTGGGGGAAAAGCAAATTTTTTTTGTTTATCGGCAAATATCGACTTGGACCAAAAATTCTAAATCTGGACCGAACACAAAGAAAAATGTACGAGCCACATTTCTTTTGCGAGAGTTCTTATTCAATTTATGCTTAATGCCATTTCGGGTCATAGAGGGTTAATGAATAATACCAGTCTAGATCTTTTCTAAGTATGTTTCATGGCTCAGCATACC